ATAGATCAAGAATGCATTGTGTGTGCAAATGTGTAAGAGACAGAGGGAGAATGTATCTCTCAGCTTAACCTACCACATAGTGTTGCTGTGAAGGTGAAACGGGATAATCCTCTGCTTACAATAAATAATAATTTACTGTAATTACATTCCTAGCAGCATAACTCAGTGTTCCATTTTCTAGCTACTCAAGAATGTAAAATCTCTAGTGTCAGAAAAGTGACTTCTGTTCAGTAATGCCAGAATTGGTTCCACTTCTTTAGATTTTCAGTCCTAACAGTGTACAATTTTGGTGACATACAAAGAGTTAGAGAGCTATCATGGTGTAGTGGTTTGAGCTTTGGATTATGAGTTTGGAAACTAGGATTTGAATCCCCACTCAACATGGAAAGCCCCAGAGTGACCTTGGGCAACTCATACTGTCTCAACCTCAGAGGAAGGCAAAGGCAAACCCCCTCTAAACAAATGTTGCCCCCCAAAACCCACCATAGTTTATTTCAAAGTCTCCATAAGTCAGAATTGAGTTAGGACTTTAACACACAAGAAAAGAAAGGCAAAACTGATCGGAAGAGTAGCAGCTTTCTCAGTGCCATGCCACATGTCCTTATAGCACTTCTGTTCTCTTCCTGAGGTTGGCAGTCATGAAAGCATGCCTTTTGTCGAATGGATTTATGCCCTTGTAGCACTTCCGTTTTCTCTCTTAGGGGAGGCATTTGTCAAAGTGTGCCTTTTGCCAAATGGGAAAAATCTGTTTGGCAAAAGGCATGCTTTCACGATCATCTCCCCTTGGGAAAGAGCAGAAGTGCTATGAGGGGATCCAGAGCAGCTTGGAGAAAGCTGCTACTCCCAATTGGTTTCACCTTTCATTTCTCATGCGGTAAAGTCCTGAAAGGCACACAACAACAAGTTACATTTTAAAATGGGAAAACAGTAAAGTAAGAATCATAAAAAAATATGATGTGTGATTGGCTACAAGTTTTGGATAGATGCTTGTGCTGTGTAACAAAAACTACATTTTTTACTAGTTGTACCTTTCATCTTCTCTGCACAGTAAGTATGCTCCAGATATTTGTATCTTACATCTGTTATGGGAAAATAGAACAGATAAAAGGGAAAAATTTCTTACCTACTACTAAATACTCTCTACCTATTACTAATAGCTGCTGTTCTGTGCCTTCAAGTCATTTATGGTGACCCTATCATGGGTTTTCTTGGCAAGATTTGTTCAGAAGGAATTTCCCATTGCTCTTTTATAAGTCTGAGAGAGTATGACTTGTCCAAGATCACCCAGTATGTTTCCATGGCCAAGCAGAGATTTGAACCCTGTTCTCCAGAGCCTTAGTCCAATACTCAAACCACTATGCCACACTAGCTCTTTCATATTAATCTATAAAGTTATGATAATAATAATAATAATAATAATAATAATAATAATAATAA